AGAATGTGGAAAATCAGAAACAAAAAAAGTGTTGATTTTCCTCCCCTACCAACACATTTCATCCTAATGCTTTTGGCTTTGATGCTTCCTCTCTCAGTCCTGTTTGATATGGCAGTGGGGCCAAATCTCTCTCTTCCTCTTTCCTCCCCATGTCAGACATTGACTTGAAAAGCCTCTGCTACTTGTCAAAAAAGAAAACTTGGAAGGGATGTGTTTTTAAGCATTCAGCCGGCATTCTGCTGCAAAGAAAACCACTCTTTCTAATGAGCATTGGAGAGTGTGGCGTGGAGCAGAAACTGTTTTCTAAGATCTGTCACAAATGATTTAGTTTCATTAGTTTTAATAGCCTTTAGCTACAGGCAAGCCATATAAGTGAAAATTAAGATATTTTTCACGCGACAAAAATGTGGCTTTGGTCAGTGGGAAAGAGAGAGAGAGAGAGAAAGGGAGATGGTGGGCTTTTCTGCTTTGTCTTCTGTTTTCTTTCTCCATCCCTCCCTCCTTTTCTTGATTTTGTTCTTGATGACAGATCATCCTTGTAGGAGAAAATTGCCCTGTGATGTTTCGTGGAGGAGGCATCCCGCTTTCACAAAAAACAGAAGGCGGGTTGACATCAGAAGCCATTTTCCCTACAGCGGGCATAGTTTTGTTGACATAATTCCAGTTCAAATGGGTCCATGGATGTTTCATGGGAATTTGGTCAGTGGGACAGAAAACACTAACTAGATAACTAGTTGCTGACATTCCAGCCATTTAAAACTACAGTTAAGCATTTGGAAATAATGGTTTTTGTTCTGTATGAGACACATAGCAAAGAATGTCATGGCTACGATCTGTTTCCCAATACAAACATATCTTAAACCCAGGTCTAGTTATACCTGGAGGTCTGGTAACCCCATGGCTTGTAGATGTTATTGAGCTCTCATCCTTCACTAATATTTACAATTGCTAGGCCTGATGGGAGTTGCAGTCCAACAATCTTTGTACCTAAAATGAAACTTCATCTTCAAGGGAGGTGCACCATTCAATACCAAATGCTGGGAATTGAGGAATGGGACAAACTGGAGGGCTTCTGCTTTGTCTGGGTGTACTGGCTGGCTCTTTCTGGAACAGAACATTGGACTAAATGCACCTTAATCTGATTCTGCAAAGTAATTGATTTGTTCAGCTTTACACCCACTTAGAAGTTCCAGTTTTGCTTCTTTTATTTATCGCATACAACTTTTTTTTTTTGTGGCACCCTTTATTTGGAAACTTCTAATCGAATCGGGCTCCCTCTTATATATCATCCTTGGCAATAAAGATTTGGCAATTAGGAGCTAATTGATGAGTTTATTGATGACGCAGAAGGCAGTGTTCTTCCCTACCTACCTCCCCAGACACCCACCCCCTAACTTCCTCTGCTATATTTTGGTGTGTCTGTGGGAGTCTTAACTATTTCTTTCCGTACACCAGGAGAAACTGCAAGGGAAACTCATGGGAGGGTGGACAGCATTTTGAATTGGGTTCAACTTAGCAAATACAGATTGAGAAATATACTCATTAACTCAATGAAGACTGGGTCTACAATGAAATGGTGCATGCAAGAATTCCCCACCGATGAAAATATTCTTTGATTTGCAACAAAATAGTGCTGTATAAAGTGGTCTGATTGTGGTTCCATTTCTCAGGTGACTCCGTTCTTTTTACTCAAGGTTTTCTAGTTCTCCCGCTGCAACAATCAATACCATAAATGTTCCATGGTGGCAGAGTGGCTTCAGTTTTCATTGTGCTCCTTTGGGACTTCCCTACCCTTTTAGTTGTTGTTGTTGTTAATCATTCTTCCAATCTAGTTAAAGCCAGCATGCTATCATGACTAGAGTTTGGGAACTGGATTGGGGAGATACAGGTTCTTGTTCCTGGGTTACTCAGGACCAGGACTGTTTCATGGTCATCTTTAGAACAAAAGCTGGTGTGATGGAAGTATTAGAGTGTTGGATGGGCAAAATTGGGAGATTCAGGTTCTAAATCCAGCTAAGCCATCATATTCACTGGGTAACCGTGGGATAGCCACTCTCTCTCTCTCTCTCTCTCTCTCTCTCTCTCTCTTTCTCAGCATAAATTGATAAAGTTACTTCTTTTTTAGTTTGATATTGAGAGATAGGGTGCATCTACACTGTAGAAGTAATGCTAATTAACATCACTTTAACTGCCATCTTACAGAATCCTGGGGCATGAGATATTGGCCAAACTTGGCTGAGATCCTGTTGAAAGCTGGAATAGAGTACAGTTGGCCTCTATATCAACAAATTCCTTATCCTCAGATTCAACCATCCGCAGCTTGAAAATGTTTAAATATGTGTATATAAATTCCAAATGCAAATTTTGATTTTCCCCATCTTATATAAGGGGCATTATTTCACTATGCTGTTGTATTTAATGGGACTTGAGCATCCATGGATTTTGATATCCATGGAGGGTCCTGGAACCAAACTTTAGCTCTTACCAAGTACCCACTGTGTTACAGTTGGAACTAACAATAGGATTTAGACCTTTATTGGACAGATTAGTAAAGTAGCTAGCTCTGTTGTCTTGTGTGGCCCTAAAAAATAGAGTTTTCCTCTATATGTTTTCCCTAAGAAACATGTCAAATGACTCACCCCTAAGTTGCATGCAAGCCATCACCAGTACGACTGTTGCTTGTTGGCATTTCTTCTGTAAATCCCTTTCCTGACATTGCTGACTTATTTTATAAAATGGTGCATCTGTAGTAAGCATTGTGTCACATTATGAGAGTTTGATCCCAAACCTTTGTTTCATAATAGGAAGAATAATTAGTGCTTGGACAAGCTTGAGCTGTGATGTCAGATGCAATGCGCAGAGGATGAAAAGAAGTTATTAGTACCAATCTAAGGCAAGCATGCTGCAGAGATTTTTCTCTCTCTTTTACTCCTAATTTGTCTCTTTGGGATTTTAGTCAAATGAAGCCACAAGAACACAGAGACATTTGGAAAAGGTGCAGAGGCAGGAAGACATGATTGAATTGCAACAGGAGCTTTCCCAATTTACTTTCCTAGTGCATGATGTTTTCTAGCTGGTTGCAAGCAGAGGAGAATGCCATATACTGAAGCAAAACCTGGTGTTGTCATCTCTGAAAATATATGAGTCTGGATGAGTTTTGAGATCTTTGAGGGAGGGCTTCCTCTTGGGCCCACTAACACCGGAGGCACCTTTGGTGAGACTTCTTAGTGGCTGCTCCAGAATTGTGGAACTCACATCCTTGAGAAGTCCAATTGGTCCCTTCCCTGCTGTTTTCCAACAGCAGGTAAAGACATTTTTTAAGGGAGACGTTTGCTTTTTAATAGGTTGTGGCAGATGGAGCTTTTAATAGTATGTGTGTGTATTGCTGTGGATTGCCAAGAAGACGAACAAATGAGTCCTAGAACAGATCAAGCCTGAATTCTCCCTGGAAGCCAAGATGACCAAATTGAGACTGTTGTACTTTGGACACATCATGAAAACAGAGGAGTCACTAGAAGAGACAATAATGCTGAAAAAGGTGGAGGGATGTAGAAAGAGGAGAAGGCTGCATGCTAAATGGATAGTCAAGAAGATTGAGTCTACTACTAGAATCACTACTAATTCAACCCATTTGTATTTGTTGTTGTCTGCCTTCAAATTGTTTCTTCCTTATGGCAACTCTAAGGTAAATCTACTGTGGGTTTTTCTGGACAAGATTTGTTCAGAGGGAGTTTACCTTTGCCTTCCTCTGAGGCTGAGAAAATGTGACTTTCTCAAGTCCACCCAGTGGGTTGCCACGGCTGAGCAGGGATTTGAACCCTGCTCAAACCACTACATATACTGGCTTTCAATTACACATTTACATGGATTCATCTCTTTATTTCTTAGTTCTGCTTGCAAAGCTTCAGGTTGAAGAGAGATGGCTGAAGGCAATATGAAGCCCAACTACAGAAAACACCAGGTGAGTGTTGAGTGTGTGGCATGGATCAGACCATGTGCATGATGCATCTTTTTTGTTCGGTTGTGCATTCTGTAGTTTACCAGTCCAATAAAAGAGGAAAAGCTTGACCCTCCATCTTGTGCTTGTACAAATCCTTCCCAAATCCAACCTTAATCCAAATTGAATGTTTTGAAGGCACTGAGAAACCTCTTTTCCTTTCTAAGTGCCTGGACAGGCTTCCAAAAACCGGCCAAAAAATGTAGCCTCTTTCTCAAGTGGTCAATTTAGAGGCTCCCATGTAATCCTATATCTTGAAACCATGCAACTCATCTGTGGCTCTGGGTGCCCCTTGTCTGCTTTATCTCCAAAGTACAAAAGTGGAATTCCAAGTTGTATCTATCTCAGTTTTATGTTAAAGAAGTGAGACTTTCCTCCTCTTCCATGCAAGGCATGTGAACGATATCATAAATGCCCACTGCATTGCGTATTTGCACCGGAGCATAATCATGAATGTTAAAGACAGTGAATCACAGTAATCGAGCGAAAGCTCAGCAAACAATGAATTATGAGGTGCCACAAACTGCTAATGTTGGCTTTCAAAGGAGGCAAAATAGAACCTCACACTCAGTTTGTGAAGGTCAGCTTAATGCAATTACATTTTCTATCGCAGCATCACAATTTCTGTTGTCTTTTCAAATACTGTAGGGCTCCAGTTTGATTTTTTAATAAATTAGGTATTTCTTTTTTTTTAAAAAAGTTACTGATAGCTCATGCTCCAAATTTTCTGATTCTCCACCTTGAGTAAATGTCTCTACTTGCCTCCCACACATGCCACTTGGTTAAAAAAACATCTTAGGGTACAGCCACAGTGTCGAAATAATGCAGTTTGACACCATTTTAAGTGCTGTAGCTCAATCCTATGGAAACATTTGTAGTTTTGCACTGCCTTTAGCCTTTTTTTTTTGTTGTTAAAGAGTGCAGGTGTCTCACCAAACTGCAAATCCCAGGATTCTGAAGGAGGGATCCATGACAGTTATAGTGATGTCAAACTGTAACCAGAGCCAGTGTGGCATAGTGGTTTGAGTGTTGGACTACAACTCTGGAGACCAGGGTTTGAGTCCCTGCTTGGCCATCAAACCCCACTGGGTAACCTTGACCAAGTCACATACTCTCAGCCTCAGGGGAAGGTAATGGTAAACCTCCTCTGAACAAATCTTGCCCCCCAAAAAAACCCAGGATAGGTTCGACCTAGGTCGGCATAAGTTGGAAATGACTTGAAGGGACACACACACACAAACTGCACTATTTCCACAATGTAGATGCACCCTAGATTTTGTAACCAGAGCACACCACATTTGCACATGGAGGTGGGAACCATGTGAACAGGTTGCGTTGAGCTTAAAGCTTGTGCCTATATATATATATATATATATATATATATATATATATATTCCACCCAGTATGTGCATTATTTCCCTTCCATTTGAAAGGAACTGTAAGTAATAATGCTCCAAGGTTGGCAACAGGTAATTAAAACCCACTCTGTTCCCGGCTAAGGATCTCCCTTCCCTGCTTCATCTCATTTCTCTTTATGATCACCGCATCACTGTTGTGGTTGTTGTTTTAATTCCTTGCACTTTTGGCCTCCTGTTGTCTTCTCCTTAATTTGTTTTCTCAGTTCCCAGCTTTTTTTTATCTCCCGTATGTCGGAGTCTAGATCCGACCTTTAATTTCGGCAGAGGGCCTGTTTGAACTCAGGTAGCGCAGTCCTTCATTCCATATTAATATTGGCTGTTTACTCTATTTTGTGCCCCTCTCCACATAACCTCAACAAAGACACTCTTCCCCCACTTTTTATTCTCCGTGTTTGTTTCACCAGGTTTTATCTGCAAGTCCTTTCGGTGGCTAACAAATGAATCTGTTCCCAGGACTGGTTTGTGCTCCCCCCTTTTTGTTATTGTTGTTATTCTGGTCTCATTCCCTTTATTGAGTTATTTTCTTTGCTGCAATCAGTCTCTAAATACAAGCCGGTAAAGATACGGCAATGATTTTTGACAAGCTGACCTTTTTCGGCTTTCTTATCCTTGCTTAATTAGGCCTTACGTGCTGCTGTGACTTCCGAGTTCCAGTTTGTCGCTCTTCCTACTACCCGCCTGCTGGTGCAAAATAAAATAAAAAGGATAATAATAATAATAATAATAATAATAATAATAATAATGGGAAATTGGTGTGAAAAGAAGGTCTCTCTTGGCAGACCAGCTGACAGCTTTAGAAGCCAACACTGGAAGACTTGGCAAGTTCAGTGGCCAAAGGATGCTCAGTTAATTGCATTATTATAGAGCAAGTTTTACCTTGAAAGGCCACAAAGGAGGTCTTATAAAACCTGTAATAGCTCATGGAATCATAGAATCATAGAGTTAGAAGAGACCTCAACGGTCATCCAGTCCAGCCCCCTGACATGCAGGAACATACAATCCAAGCACTCCAAACAGATGGACATTCAACTTCTGTTTAAAAATCTCCAAAGAAAGAGACTCTGCTATCCTCCAAAGCAGCATGTTCCACTGTTGAACAGCTCTTATCATCAGGAAATTCTATCTAATGTTTAGGAGAAACCTCTTTTCGTGTTGTTTGAATCCATTGCTATGGGTTCTAGTTCCTGCAGCAGGAGAAAATAAGCTTTCTTCATCCTCAGTATATTGTTGTTTTTGTATGCCTTCAAGTTATTTTCACCTTATGGCAAACCATGGGGTTTTCTTGGCAAGATTTGTTCAGAGGAGGTTCACCATTGCCTTCCCCTGAGGCTGAGAGCATGTCACTTGCCCAAGGTCACTCAGTGGATTTCATGTATAAGCAAGGAATTGAATCCTCAGGCATGAGATATTGGCCAAATTTGGCTGAGCTCTCTGACAGAGAAGGCTAAATATCTCACAAAACTCCAGATTCCAGAATCCCATAGCATTAAGCCATGACAGTTTCTGCAGTGCAGACTTCAGAGACATAGTCATAGAATTTTATTTGGAGAGGTTATTGTAGGCCACAATGGGCATCTTCTGGGGATCCATGGATCAACTTCTTGCCCTTGTACCTACCATTAATTATACCTAACATTGTGGCTAAACAATAAAACTAGAAGGGAACAAAGGTCTCACCCTTAAAGCTAAATCTAAAAGCTCCTCAAGGCATTGATCTACAAAAGTGGGATCCACAGCTATCTACCACATGTGTCCTTCATCACCATGGCCTAACACAATGCTTCCCAAACTTTGGTCCTCCATGTGTTTTGGACACCAACTCCCAGAACCCGCAGCCACCTTGACCAACCATCAGGAATTCTGGGAGATGAAGTCTACAGCACTTTGGATTTTGGAGGACCCAAGCTCAGGAATTAATGGCCTAACCTATCTTGGAAGAAGAAACACATCCCAGTCAATGCCTGTGATGAAAACGAATGTCCTGCATAAACTAACCCAGAGGTAATTTTGGTCCACCTTCCACCACCCTCCCCACATACTGCACCAACTTTCCTGTTGTTTCAAGGAATACAAAATACCCATTTACACCTAGGTGACTGTATTACTCATGCACAGTTATGGGTATTATTTAAGCAGAGGGACATGACAAAGTAGTGGGCCAACTTGATTAATGCATGCCCAGAGGGAAAAGCCAGGCATGAGGTGAAGTTAAATACTTTCAATGTGCATTAATCAACACCACAACGCCCGCCAAAATGGTCTCATTGTGGGTAAAAAATGGATTTCCTGTTGCAAAGCAACATTTTTAATGTTTCACATTAATTTTTTTCAGGGATGGTGTCATACCATGAGGGGTTTCATCCCCCTCTCCCCATCTTCGAGAAAGTCATATCATCTTTTCAAACATCCATCTTCTGGTCTCCCGAGGGAAGCTACTGAATGTTTGACAGGGTGACAAATCCTGCTAAGGGTGTGACTTCTTCTTCTGAGGTTATGGTTATGAAAGATTTCTTCTCCTCTTTTTAAAAATATAAGAAAATGGGAACTTGTTGTTCTTGTTGTTGTTATGTGCCCTCAAGTCGTTTGCAACTTATGGCGACCCGAAGGTGAACCTATCATAGATTTTATTGGGAAGATTTGTTCAGAGGAAGCTTGTCATTGCCTTCCTCTGAATCTGAGAGAGTGTGACTTGCCCAAGGACAAATGTGGTTTGCATTCCTTCTGATAAGAGAGGGCAATTTGCCTCCTTCTGGTGTGAGAGTGTGGTTTTGCATCGCTTCTGAATGGATAGACTCATGACCCAAGAAGCCATCAGTTTGGAGTTCTGGACCTCTCTTCTTATTCATTTATTTATCAGGTAGTTACATGTATAACTCTGCCTTCAACAACCACACATGGCTTTCCCTTTTAGCTTAAAAAAGAAAGAAAGAAAAAAACATGTGAAGGAGGCTTAAATGATGACCCTAAGATAGAGTGACCAGTCAAAGGTGAATGCTATGGCTCATTGGTGGGGAGAAACCCTGTATCTCTCAACTTAATTCTTGCACCATAACCATTACGCTGTGCTATCTCTCTTATTGTTCTACCTCTGTTTCTCCTTCCATCACATTTACTTCTTTTCCTAAACTTTGAAAGCCCTCTTAAGGCATTGGCCATTGGCATACATGTGACAATGTAATTCTTCCCCTTTTCATATATTGCGTACATTGCTTTCTATTCTTAATTTACTGACCATCCATTTCATTCTCTCCTCCTGAATTTTAATGTCATGAGAGAGCAAGGAAACAGCATTCTTCCATCCATTTCTCCCACCTGTGAAAACGCATTGCAAGGGGGTCCTCCTTGCAATGGTCCACCTCTCTCTTGAATTCATAGACTGGTGCCTATGGACTGGTCCAGTCTGGTGGGCAGAAAAGACTTGGATTCAGTCAAGAAATGGACAACTGCAGAAGAATCAGGGGGCCTTTTTCTTCTCCAAACTTGGAGGTTTGAAGGACACATGTGATAAAGTCTGTTGTTATGACAATGTAGACCCTCAGCTAGAGTTCATTTTTAAATGTTAGACAATGAAAAGGGGACTTTAGTCCTATCTAAAAGGTGATTTCTGCTTCTGAAGGCTTTCAGGAGAGGAAATTCTCTCTCTCTCTCTCTCTCTCTTTCTTTCTCTCTCTCACCTTTGGAAGGTGAAAGCAGTCCAGGGTGTTAGGAGAGTATGTGGGCCACAAAACAGCTTTACTGGCTGCATGTAGCCCCAGAGTCCCTGACTTAGTACATGTGAATGTGACTTGGTAAGGGAACAAAATGACCCATCCATCTCTCACATTGCCCTCTTCTGGAAACCATTGACTGGTTCAATGCAGGCTTTATAGTTCATCTCAATAACTTTTGACATTATTTCTCCCAAGTTCAAAACTGGCTTAAGTATGCACACAGCAGTCAAGCTGTACAAAATTCAATATCTGCATAATCATAATAAGAAAAATAAGAAAAAAGCCCTATGAAGCTTTGTTAGACAAATGGCGCCGAAGTAACAGGCCATCTTTCTTCTCCTTCTAATTTTATTTTTATGAAGATTTATGGAGGCTAAAAAGATCAAAGATTTAATACATAGAAATAAAACAACCTCCCTAGTGGTTGTGTTCTCAGCAGATGCCAGATATGACTATCGCACCATTCATTCTCTCGGCGTAAAGATCCATACATCGATAACAAACAGCCGAGCCATTCATAACGGGCTTGGTCCTCTAAAGACCAAGTGGAGATAAATATAGGGAGCGGCCATTTTTAAAAGGAAATGTCTCCTTTTGAAATTTATCCCCTGTGAAAATGCTCACAGGCGACAAAGTGGAAATGCTTTCCCCATTAAGGAAATGAAATTGAATTATAGGCGCATGGAACAAAAGCATGTCATAAGTGTCGAAGATGGTTCCTTCGTGAAAGTAGAATCCCCATGGATTCTAGATGAAGGATGCAACCAATGGGGGATTTGAAATGCAATGAAAAGCAGCTTGATGGTGAAAATAGGCTCAACTAGAAAATGAAGGATGATACCCAGAGTGGATGAGGACAGCCTAAGCAAACAAGAGAGGACGGCTTTGATTCATTGGTGCCCCATCCATCTCTTCTCCTCTTCACAAATAATGAGACAAGTGACATGGCAAGGTCGTGGTGGCCCAGAGCTAGACTGAAATCTCTTACAAACACTTTTTTTCCCCTGAGAGAAGTAAAACTGTGTACATGTTTATCCAAGTGTTCTCCATCATTAGTTCTGCCAAGCCCATTTTCAAGGGTTGGGTGAGTTCACTGAAGGACCCTGGATATTCACTGTGTATGTGTTGTGAGTCTTCAAGTCATTTCTGACTTCTGGTCACTCTAAGCAGAACCTATCATGGCATTTTCTTGGCAAGATTTGTTCAGAGGAAGTTTTCTATTTCCTTCCCCTGAGACTGAGAGCATTTGGCTTGCCCAAGGGCACCCAATGGGTTTCATGGCTGAGCTGGGCATTGAACCCTGGTTTCCAACATATGTAGTCCAGTGCTCAAACCACTACACTGTCCACCCCTCCAAACATGTTCTGTTGTGTCCCAAAATATTGAACACACTAATCTCTGGTGCTAGATATGTTGGCCTCAAACAAACCAAGGCCTGAATACCACTTGAATCCATTATTAGTTCCAACTAAAGTAGACTCATTAAATCAATGGGGTTTACCATTTGACACTTAATCAATGAATCTATTCTAGCTAGGATGGCTAACCCGTATGGTTCAGCCCATATGTGCTGAACACTATTTCTCTCTGAACTCCCAGAATCTGCCAGTCAGCTTAGGCATTGGGTATGCCACTGGGATCTGTAGTATGGAAAGTAACTTTTTCAAGTTCTTAAAAAAAATCACACCCATTTTAGTGAGCCTAGTGAGGTTAATCCAAACAAGGCATGGTTTAGTGTTAGTTCCAAATGTAATTGCCGGGGAATTGCTGGAAGGAGTGAACCAGAAACCATTCCCCCCATCAGATCAAAACACTTTGCTTCATTTGACCACTTGCAATGAACATTCTCTGTTAAGTAGTTCAGGCAGGAGTTTCTGCTTCACTGACATGAGGATCACCAGTCTTGTAGCCCTCTTGTATTGCCATCAAATGTTCACAGGCAGGTCTTCGAGGTCTACCAGCACTGGTGTGACATATCTGAAAATGATGAAGTTACTCTGGTAATTATTAAATTGGATAGCACTCAGGTCTGTTCTTCTCTTTATTACATACAATGATTCACCATTTATAGAGTCATAAATCCATTTGGAAGAGATGTGGAGGCTTCCTGCAGGGGACAGGCTGTGACCATTTGGAAATGAAGCCAAACCTTGGAGGTCTCAAGAGAAGGGAGGAAAGAGAGAAGGCTGGCTTTTGACTGTTGATGAGAGCTGGCAATTTTTAATGAAAGTTGTTGGGGTGTCACAGCTAGCAAATGCACTTTTGTGGGAGAGGGGCATTGAGCAAAGAAAAAGCACATCGCTTCTGCACAAAGCCAGGTCTGTCACTTAGGAGGGACTGTAAGGCTGCAGCAATTTGCAGCCAAACAGTAAAGACTGGAACAGCTTAACAATCACTGTTTCCTAGAGTGCTTAGCCAAATGTTGTTGTTATTGTCATTGTTGTGTCTTCAAGTCATTTCTGGTGACCCTGAGGCAAACATATCATGGGGTCTTCTTGACAAGATCTGTTCAGAGGAGGTTTGCCATTGCCTTCTTCTGAAGCTGAGAGAATGTAACATTGGTTGTTGTGTGCCTCCAAGTCATTATGGACTTGGAGGTGTCTCTAAGGTGAAACCATAAGGGGATTTCTTTGGCAAGCTTTGTTCAGAGAAGGTTTGCCAATGAGGCTGAAAGCCTGCAACTTGCCCAAAGTCACCCAATAGGCTTCATAACTGAGCTGAAAATTGAATCCTGGTCTCCAGAGCCCTAGTCCAACACTCAAACCCCTAGGCCACACTGGCTCTACCTGTCCCATTTCACCATCCCGTTGGTTTCGGCAGCAAAATATGGGATGACAGATTCCAGAGATCTGGAAAATTTTAATGGGATTAACTTGCGAGGTCAACTCAGTGATGATGAGTGTGTTTCTAGGTGTTGGAGGCTGTTGTTTTTACCACCCAAATACAAAGCTTAGGAGTAAGAACAGGGAGTATTGCAGAGTGAGAGTGGAGTGTGAGAGAGTTTGGCATGGTCACAAAGCCAGTCCTGAGAGAGGTTGATACAATCTGAAGCAGGATCTTTATCAAAATTGTCATTCCCTGGTGGGAAGGGCCTAGAAACATCCTTCTTTTTGCTCCTTTATCAGAAGCCAAAAAGTCCTCCATTCTCAATGTGGCGGATGGCTGGGGTGGGTTCTCATCCAAGATCCTCCCCAATACTTTAGAACACATATTTTTCCCCATCATTTTCCCCATTTTTTTTAAAAAAAATATATATACTTTCACTCCCTAACATCAACTATCAAGCCTTAAAGTGCAGAAGGTCAGTGTTGCAGCTCATTTTACCATTTTACAGCTTTGTTTTGAACAGGTGAATCTCCCCTTCCAAGTGCGTCATATTATTCAAAACCCAGCTGAAAGCTTCCCCCACCCCCAAAAAAACATTACATAAAATTTATAAAAAGCCACTTTCAAAAGAAAGCAATTTACCTTTCCCGGCTAGCGTATAGATTAGTGTCTGGTTATTATGCCCATATTTTAAAATCTCTTTCTGTGCACAGGTCGGCCCCACCGCAATGATGCGGTTAGAGTTCTCCTGAGTCATCCTTTTAAGCGTTTCTCTTTCTCTCCATTGCCACCTGTTCCTGGTTTCCCCCTGCCCGCCAGCTCTATCCTCCCTTTAATTGAACAAAGTGGACTTAATTTGAATTAAACTGTCAAGAAATCTTCCACTTAAATTGATTTATCTGCTTCTTCGGCTGAAATGGATTCATTTCAGCACAATGTATAAGGAGCGTGTGTTGATGGATTGCGTCTCACGGAATGGAAGCATTTTTTAATGCAACTGTATTAAATTCTACTCAGGTATGAAAAAGGGGGAAGAGAAGAAAGTGAAGAGATGAGAATGGAGAGAGCAGAACATTTTGGGGGGAGGCAAGGGAACGATGGCAGATGAGGAACCTTCAGACATAGATTCCGGCTGTCAAAAAATAAACATAATTTTTAGAGTAGCAAATGCAAGACGTATGGAGTGATTGTGAGTTTCTCTTACTCTCTTTCTCTCTTAATTTCTAGCATGATTCACTTTGTTACAGGTAAAACATGCCACTCATTTTGACCCTCTGCAAAACACCTTCTAACATTTTCCCCTCTTCGACTTGTTAGCTCAGTGTAAAAAGGTCCTGGTTTTAAATCTAAGCAATGGAGACAGTGTTACTTAGTGGTTATGGAGTTGGACTTTGACTAGAATGATCATGGTTCCTGATGCCACCAAGCTGTCAAACTTTCTCCATGATCCTGGGTCATTCTTCTTCAGCTTGGAGGGCCAAGGAGGTCAACAAAAATGCATGGGGAAAGGCATTCCTGAATTCTAGGAGGAAGGAAACTATGATAGGAAGGCTAAGTGTGTAACTAAGGGAATGGACCCAATTAGGCCTTGAGAAAGATGGGCATGGCTCCATCCTACATCATGATATGAAACCATAATGTTTCATGCATGCAGCTCTATGCTGCTCCAGTCTCCAAAAGACAAGGTGTTGTCATTGCTGTCCAAATGCTGGGATGGGAAGGAAGGGGAAATTGACTTGAAATTGCCCACATACAGTTGTGAGGCCGCAGGAAAGCAACTACATGTGCCAGATCATAAACCATGCATGCAGGATCTGGAAGAATGTCCACAGTCCTCCTCATCCAGAAGTGCAGCAAGGTCAACTGTTCGCCTCCATCTCTGGACAGCTAATAAACAACTGAAGCAGAAACCCTGGATCTGGAAAACTATCTTAGGGGAAAGATGTTTGCAAGTTCTTAAGGAGGTAATGAATAACACCTTGCATAATATCTAGGAGAAGATATATATGCATGTTACAAGCACAAGAGAGCCAGTGTGGTGCAGTGGTTTGAATGCTAGACTATGATTCTGGAGACTAGGGTTCGATTCTCAACTCAGCCATGAAACCCACTGAGTGTCTTTGGGCAGATCACATGCTCTCAGCCTCAGGGGAAGGCCATGGCAAACTTCCCCTGAACAAATCTTATCAAGAAAACTCCATGATAGATTTGTTTCAGGGTCATCATAAATGACTTGAAGGCACACAACAACAACAACAACAATTTAAAGAAAGAAGTTGGCAGCCTGAGCTTCCAAATGCATCTGAGAAAGTAGGCTTAAGTCCACAAAAGCTCATGCTGCCAACTTCTTTCTTTCAGTGAGTCTCAAAGGTGCTACAAGATCTCTCTACATACTGTTTCTACAGACTAACATAGCTATATCTTTGAACCACAAATTAAGGTATACTGAAGGCATGCTGGATTGCAATCAGAGACTGTTGGCTTCTATGAGAAGGCTAATGATGAATCCACTCTGGGTTCCAGTTTGGAGAATAGGTTTAGTTCATTAGAGAGTTCTTATTCGATCCCAGAGCAGATCCATTGCCCCACTGACATGGGAGCCATCAATGGCCACTTCATTGCAACCTGTACAAAACCACATGTAAGGTGAAGCAGAGTCCATTTTCATGGAAAATTAGGCAGGCATCAGAAGAAGAAAAACTCTGCTGTGTTTCCTCATTCATTTTCATTTTGAACATTTCATTTTCCTTGTTTCCTATTCATTTGAGTAGTGTTCATTTCATTTTATGTTCATTGGAATGTATGATCAGGGTGCTGTGGAGCCAAAAGGGAGAAAATATACACACTGCCACACTCCAAAAGCTTCGTTGCCAAAGTACAAACATTTGTTATAAGGCTGGAGAAGGTGAAAATTTGGAGTAAGGAATGTCCTTTTAGAGAAATGGGATGCTAGATATGTAAAAGAAGCCAACCTATTGCGGCAGACACCCAATTTTGCCGTTATCAGGGGAAATGTTTTACGTTGCTTGCCTCCATAATGAAATTGTCTGTGCCATGCAAGGGAGAAACAGATGAAAAGATTAAACAACCATATTTATACAGCCTGACACCAACTGTTGGCAATACACAAAAAACAGAATGGGAAGATCAGAGTAGACTTTGAAGATTTTTTTTAACCATCACAAGCAAAATTATTATAAGAACCAGAGAGATCATACCTGGAATGCTAATATAAAAATGCATCAAACTGGGGATCAGAAACCAGGACTCAAATCACATTGTGGAGGTTTATAAACTACATCCGAGATCCTCCAGCGCAGTCTGTTTCATAACTTTATGAATCTGTAACTACACTGAACAAAAACAAGGAAACTTTGTTGGTGAATTGTGAAGATGCACATCTGGACACTGGAGAGAGTGCTTTCCTGTGCATCAGGTACTTTTGACATCCATTGGGCAGTGGGAACTTCTAATGTTTATTGGACACTTCTAGTGTCCATTGGACACTTCTAGTGTCCATTGGACACTATTTCTGATGTGCAATGAGCATGAATGATATGCATCAGGCACTTCCAGTACACATTGGGCACTTCTGATATCCATTGGGCACTACTTCTGATGTGCTTTGGGCATAAATGATGCACATCTAGTACTTCTGATGCCCATCGGGCACTTCTGATGTGCATTGGGCACTACTTGTGATGCTCATTGGACATGAGTGATACACAACAAGCACTTCTGGTGTCCATCAGGTGCTCCTGTTGTGCTTTGGCACTTCCTGGATGCACATTGGGGAGTGCCCAAATGACCATCAGTGCCCATTATACATTGGGCCAAATCACAACAGTCACTGCACCATTACCCAATGGTTGGTCACATGTTGCAATGTCACATAGCTATGTATGGTTGTTGTAGAACAATTCAGTTTTGTGAACATATAGAGCCATTTACAAAGATGCTGGCCCAAGAGTTCCTCGTGCCAGGAGACTGAAAACAGCCAAATATAGACATTGCACAATGACAATCAAAGTGTACCCACATATATAAGGGAACTTTATTTGTGCACATGATAAGATTGTGCCTTTTATTTTCTTGAGTTACTTCTACTGCCATCCCAACCCCCTCTCCCACCATCTTTTCTTTCCAGGAATCAGCTGTCTCCTCATTCCTATATTTATTCAACAATCTTCCCTGATAATGAATGTGCCCTAATGCAGAGTTGTCCTGTTCTAGTGGAATTATCGCATTAGGGATGGAGGTGAAATTCGTTTGGTTTGCATGTTAATAAGAACTGACCTAATTCTCACTTGCAAAAGTAATACATAAACAGGAATGCTGTTGTTCCCCCACTTTTTGCACATTTATCATGCAGTTGTCCTCTGGGACAACAAATGTGTACAAAAACTGTAGACCTTATTGGAAATGGCAGGGGAAAACACATGCAAATAACATATAAAGCTGAATCTATTAGCGGGAAACTGCTCAACTCAAAATGAGGATATTAGGGAGGAAATGCATACAAATATATATGAATTTTCATGTCCTTTAATATATGTACATGTTTTGGGGAATGCAGTTCACATTGAGACAGAAACTGGATGGAATGGATTTATTCTTGCAAAAAAAAAAGTAGAAAATGAAACAGAATTAACTATCTTGTGTTATGATACAATGCAGCTTCAGAGGCAGGGGAGATTTCACTGCTTGTTTCTCCTTCAAAAGGAGATCAATATGTCCTTTTGAAGGAGGTTCCTACTTGAAGGTATCTACCAATACTTTGTATATGCTTCAACTGTCCTTGTTGAAGGTTGACAGTCACCCCTCTTTTTCAGCTGCTTTGTAAATAATGTCCCAGTTTCTCTCAGACCCTTCTATGTTCCCCCGCTGTCCCTGACATGCTTCATTTGCTGGAAGCTGAGTTCAAAATACAAAAATAATTAGTTCTAAATTACCTTGGGGGAGATAGGGAAGGAGATGCAAAGGCGGAATCTTGCTCTTCTCTGTAGGCTCAGGCAAAGCCAAACTGCTACTTCTGTGTTCTTCCTCATTAACAATTATTGCTATCTTGACCACCCCCTGATGTTGCTTGGCCACAAGTGTCCGAGTTTTTGTCTGTGAAATGCTGGAGAGTATGACTTTGTTATCTTACAGGACAACCATCATCAATCTTAAGATATAGCCATGATAATCTGGAAAATTAGTATGCAAAGGGATCTTGTAGCACCTTTGAGATGTTGATAGCATGAGCTTGAGTAGACTTGAGCTGACTTCCTCCAATGCATGGAGCTCAAGTCTGCGAAAGCTCATGTTACCAATATCAAACTACCAACAATGTCTTTCCTCCTGCTCTGTCTTCTCCATCCTAGAAGAAACTCCTCCTGCATGTGGTCTTCATTTTGCTTCTTTGACTGTTGTACCAGATCGTAGCCAGAAATGTGTAAGAGTGCACTCGAGGTGACAATTATTCTAGGAAAATCACAATAGAGATTGTGAACCCGGACCTGGTTGAATACACTGATCTGTCCATCTCCAACATTGTGCTCTGCAGTTGTTGTTGTGTTACAGCTCCCATTTTCCCTTACCATTGGTGATTCTAGTTAGGGTTCATTATAGTTGCAGTCTGAGAGCGTTCAGAGGGCATCACATTCACTCTATGTGTTCTGTTGTACAGGATTGAATCTCCAATCCATTTTTTGAAAAAAAAAAAAATCCTTTGGGTGACGCAAAGGTACATTTTTTCCCAGATGTGAAAAATGATCTGGAACCCACTTCTTGGAATTCATTTTGCCTCTTCCTATCCATCTGCACACAAGAGAGATAGCAATGTCCTTACAAAGCACAGTTATCTTTCCCTTCTCACCGCTAGGCTTCACTCTCTACATTTCTATATTGAAATTCCTAGGTTGTATTTATGACTCGTACCAAAAGCTTGTCACATTATTTTTGCAAGCTTTTTCTTCCTCTTCCCCCCCCCACCTATCCATTCCTGCACCCTCTCCCCCTTTAGCCTTGTACAAATAACGTGTCAACATCTCCACGTATCCCAGGTTGTTGTTAATCCAGTAAAACAAGGTGCTTTAACAAAGGCCCTCATACATTTCTGACATTTTGGATATTTGTAATTTTGAGGAAATATTTACATAGACGGCTAAAGCAAAGCTTTCATGCTGAATGACAGATCAGAGGTAATTGGAATACATCAGCAGAGCCCGAGTTCTTCCATTTGTTTGCAACGACCACCACCACTACCACCATGGAACACTTTCCCTGTGTTTATAAAGTGTCAACAATGCAAAGAGCAGAAAGCATTTTAAAATGAACTCCAGGTAAGCAATCACAGGTCAGGACCCTGTTTGTGTCTCATGCATTCACAAAGTTCCCCTACAGAAGCAGCATTGTTGTCTGCTGTGGAAAAGCTCAAATCAGTTCACAGTTGCGGGGAAAGAGTTGCACAGATCACTTCCGCAGGGGAACTTACTCCTGAGTAAGCCATCAACAGGATTCTGGACTTAGGCTGCATCTACACTGCAGAATTGATGCAGCTTGACTCCGCTTTATCTGCTATGGTTCCATGCTATGGAATTCTGGGATTTGTAATTTTGCAAGATATTCAGCGTACTTTGTCAGAGAGCTCTGGTGCCACAGTAAACTACAAATCCTTGGAATCCATAGGATGGGGCTATGACAGTCAAAGCAGTGACAAACTGCAGTAATTCTGCAGTGTGGCAGCAGCCCTAGTCTCTGAAGTTTAAAACAACTATTCCTATCCTCTCCAAATATCAGCCAAGCAAGCCAAAGCTGGCATGACTACAATCCGAAGCATGAGGAGAGGATTGGACAGCAAAAGGTTGATTGTATTTGTAACACACGCACGCACGCACACACACACACACACACACACACACACTTCTTAAAAGCTTATGTTTTAGAGAAAAATGCTGTGGCTATTCCAGATGCAAGCAGTAAATCATCCGGTCTCTTCTCTTAGACATGTGCTGAAGAAGGAAAGCCGGTGATGAATGGGGCTGTCCATATTTACATTGAGAGCGGAACAGCTGTGAGAATCTCCTAGCACCACAAGTATCCCTTGCAAACTCCTCT